TTCCCACCCATTATTTAATTTATGAAAACTCCTGAAATTCAGTGATGATTCTTTTATTGATTATATTAGTTAAAAGCAGAAGTCTTTGGAGAATATAAATCATCTTTTTTTTTTTCTCTAAATCAAAACATCCTGAAAATTCACCTGCTGAAAATCAGCTCCAGATTGTAACATACAAAACCCAATAAAACTAAGACACTATTGAATTAGGAAAACTTTTAATAGCTTTTATGAATGATATTATTGTTAATGACAATATTGTCCAAAGCCAAAATATTTTTCCAATTAAAAATGATTTTTTACAAGATTTTTTTTTTTTTTTTTTTTGTTCAATTTTAAATACAAAATGTGATAGTTGTTCAGTCTTTTAAAATTAAGTTTCAACCTGATGAGTTTAGGGAATGTCGTTATTAAGTAGATCTGTCTTTACAGATCATAAATTTGAAATCTTATTGCAATCTGCCACCACCCCAGTATTTTGAAAAAGAATTCAACATTGTTTTTGAGTGCACATAAAACGTTTTTTCCCCCACAAATATATGGATGGCCGTACATGACATGAATCATGAATGTCATGTGTTTAAAAGTGTTGTTTCTCTTGACAGTAATAAATTGCATAATTTTTTTGTTTTTGTTCTGTGAACACGCTGAATTTTCTGACTGATTTTAACCACCAACATTGTCGCATTTTTTTTCTTTTTTTTTTTTTTTTTTTACGTACTATTTCACTAAATATTTTAGTTTATTTTTTTTTTTTAAATATAATTAATTTATTGTTTTGCAGTGAGAGACATGCTGCAATATACTGCAATTAATTATTTTCTTTTTTTAGTTTCTATTCTTGGATGGAAACAAAACAATTAAAAAATAAGAAAAATTAACACATTAAAAAAAAAAATCTCATTTCATAAAAATGAAAGAGGTACCTATAATTATTTATGAAATTTTATGGTATTATTTTTAATTATTAATTTTTATATTATCTCAGTTGTGAAACTTTTTCATAACTGAGATATAAAAATTAAAAATGAATAAAAAATATCAGTAAAATTTCATAAGAGATGTATGTAAAAAAAAAAAAAAAATTTAAGTTCCTCTCTTATTAAATTTATTCAGTCTCAGTTATGAAATTTTGAATTTATTTTATTGCTAGTATTTTAAATTTTACTTTTCTAGAAATCATCTTCAAAAATGGAAGGCTAAAATACCTGAAAAAAAATCAATAAAATATTAGATTGCTGAAAGTATCTGTTAATTTTTTAAAATTACTATGTACTTAAATAAGTTAGTTCACTTAAAAATTGTAAAAAAATCACCTGTTCTTCTGTCTGATAATTTCCTCTAATCTGTCAATACATCGATGTAACTGTCAGTTAACACTTCCAAAATAAGTCACCGCAGATAAGACATGGTTTTTCATTTTAATGATATACCGCTGACACAAGAAAAACAAGATTTTTAATCAAAATTTTGAATGTTCTAAAAAGGATAAAAAAATTTAATAAAAATAAAAAAAAATACTTTAGCCTCTCCTCTTAATAATAACAAACATTTGGACGATAAAGTTTTTTCATCAAGTTTGGGGCTTTTTTTTCATTATGGTATGCTCTTTTTTGGTGAATTAGTGGAGAGACCTAAAATAATCTGTTTAAGATTTCATTAAAACTGTACCAATTTATTTAAACTAGTGTAAAAATAGTAAGTTTGATTAGATTATTATTATTATTAATACAAAAATTATACAAATGTTCCTCTTATACTATAGTCAGCTCTATGTAGCTATATGTCTAAAGTAATTAATTCAGGTGGACTTAGCATAATGACAAAGAATTTTAGAAAATAATATTTTGTTGAAAATGTTTATCCAGAAATTTTAAAGATGTAAGAGAACTATGCCAACTTCCTTTTTTCTCTGTAGGATTGGTGTTTTTTTGTTTTTTTTTGTTTTTTTAAAAAACAAAAAACAAGTTGTAATTTCAGCTTGCTTCATTATGTGTGTGTGTGTGTGTGTGTGAAAAGTATCAATGAGAATCTGATGGAATGGTAAATATAAGACAATTTGGAAACATCTCTTTTGAAATGATTCAGTGATTAACTGGCATCATCAGAAAATGAATAACTAATATAAATTTTGGTGAAATAATTTCTTTTTCATTTTTTTCATCTCAATTTATTGCTGAAATATATCAAAATAGAAATTTCCCAAACTGCCTTATATGAAATGATCTTTTGAAATCCATGCCATGAGCCAGATAACATTTGACTAGATTTGCTAGTTCATTTAGTAGTCAGAAGTATACCAGCTGAGACTGATAACAAAACAGTTGTCTGGTGTCTGATCATTAATTATAATTATGTTAATTGAACAGGAATATTTATGAATGTAGAATTGTAATGAGAGGGAATATTGGGGTCATGAGAAATCTATTCTACTCTAATTGCAATAATACAGTTTACTGTTTGGCATTGACAATATAATAAACCCTCTTTGTCATAGAGACACACATTACATGATATATGTGTGTGTGTTAGGAAAATTAATGACAAAGTGGGAAAAAATGTTTCATCCTTTAGAACTTCATTGGACTAAAGTAATATTTTGTTGGCATAAATATATATGTATATGAAGGGGAGGGGGTATATAAAAACATGTTTATTATAATTATGCTTAGATTGGGAATGCTAATCTTGATGATGAAAGTTTTAAATTTATTCATTTATTTATTTTTTATTTTTATTTATTTATTTATTTATTTATTTAGATGTGTCTGGATATATAGTCTTGCCAATTTCATTTAGTTTCTTTATACTTTTGTTTATGTTCTTATTACTTATGCTAAGTATCCCACATTGTCAGAATAGAAGGTCTGCCAATAAAAGTAAAATTTAAAACCTGGACACAGATTTACATTTTCGGCGTTTCCTATCTATGGATAATTATAACCAACATTTGTGTTTTAATATCCCCCCCCCACATATATATATATATATATATATATATATATATATATATATATATATATATAATGATCATTATTATTATTAGAGATTATAATAAAAACATTTGATTGTATTCTCTGAACACAACAAAAAATTGAAACATGAAAGCTTTTGTTTTGCGATTTCAATGTTTTTTTCTTATAATCTCTTGTGTATATATATATAAAATTAATATATATATATATTTATATTCCACTTTTTAAAAGTAAATGCTATTACATTTTTAAAATCTGTCCTTTCTCTCAATTGTAATATATTAATTATTATATTATATATATATATATATATATATTCCAATAAAATTTTAAAAAAGAAATCGCAACACAAAAAGTGTTGTTTAATAATAACTTTGTTTCAATACTTTGGTTGTACTTCTTCAGGCGAATACAATCAAATGTTTTTATCATAATCTCTAATAATGATATATATAATGTAATGTGTATAATAAAAAAAGTTCTCAATAACGAGGTACAAAGACTAGCCTTTAGAGCTATTAATAAATATATAGGTAATAAAATCTTTAGGAGCTGGATCTTTTATGTGCCATGTCCCTTCAGGACGTGGGCGATTATGGCTCTCCATTTCCTCTTGTCCCTTGTAGCTCTCAATAAGCTTCTGCCATCTGCTTGCTTAAGCCTGTTAAGTATGTCATGCGTTGCTTTCCCTCTATCTGCTCTGTATCAGATTTTCCAAAAAAAATGATATTTATAAAAAAAAATAACTACAACTTGTAAATCCTTACATAATCCATATCCCCTATGTTTACAAGAAAAATTGCATATTATAAAGTTTCCTAACAAAAAAAAACCTGTTAAATCAAAGAAATGAATTAAGTGTTGTGCCATCATTGTCTACCTTTTTACCTTAAAATATAGTTAAAAAAGATTTTTCAAAATTATATATTGTATAGCCATTATTTTATTAGTATATAATGGTCAACCCAATGTTTATCTGATTAACAACCTATATGTTTCCATATTTTTAATTATACTTATAGACTCCTTTACGAAGCTTTTTGAGTATATTAAAAAAGAAAAAAAATTTTTAATTATTTATTTATTTTTTTTTTTTTAAATCTGTTTCTGATAAATTTATGTCTACTTCATTTGTCAGTGAAAATGTCCCTGCAATTGTTGAATGACATGTTTAAGCATCAGTTTTCTTGACATGTATAAATAAACCACCCACCTCCACCCTCTGACCTTATTTTTATATTTTAGCATAGACATACCCATAAGTATATTTTTTAATTCTGCTCTTATGCCCTCTTTTAACTTACAAAAAAAAGGTAAAGATTTGTTTTTAAATTTCCCCAATAAATCATTTTTATCACAAGTTTTTGTGTAGCAATGTAAAATGTTTTTATTGTAATTTATTATAATAAAAATATTATAATAATCTTTTGTTCCGCATTGCATTGAGTTTTTTTTTTAAATATATGCTACAAACTGGATTTTTAATCTGTTCTTTCTCTCATTTGTGCATGTGTGTGTGTGTGTGTGTATATATATATATATATATAAAATGTGCATTATACCTGTGCATTGATGGATCTGCTATGGAACTAATGAAACTGGATCATCAGAATCTCTAATCCTGAAGGGGCTTTGAAGCAATTATTTTTTTAATGTATGAATTTTTCAATAAAATCTGTGGAGAATTTTTAATAGTGCCTGTTATTAAAATAAGGTTATTTAAGTAATAAAATCACAATCGAATGGATTGAAGTATTTGGTACTGACCTTAGAATTTAACTTGCATTTGTTTTTTTATATCCTCTCTGGTAAAATGTAATTATTTTCTGAACACTTTAATATTAAAAATATTTACAGCTTCTCTACTCCTGGCCCAACCAAATTGGGATTCAAAAATAAATTCTGATGATTAGTCATTTGCTTGAGAAGTGAGTCAGGCTGAGAACTTTTCAGCATTTCCTTGTATATATTTCTGATTTATTTTTAGATTTCTGTTATTAAATTTTCTGCTGTGTCTATTTTCAGGAGATGAATTGGAATGGCATGTTGCAAGGCTCCTTATTTAAGAGGCCAAAGGCCAATGTAATTGTGACTATAGTTGGCCATGATGAAATGGATGAAACACCTTTGAAACCAAAATCTATTGCCAAATATCCTGTTCATAATGTAAGTATTATGTAACTGCATCATATAAAACAGAGAAGATACCTACATAAAGAACAATTAAGACTAGAATATTTCTTAGTGTGCATATAAGTGTTTATGTGTCTTTCTTTGGAATGTGAACAAAGAAAAATTGTTTTATTGTGTAGGCTTCACTTAATAATATATATTAAAAAAAAAATGTTATGTGTGGGAAGAATTAAGTATGTGACTATAAACCGAGGAAAAAATATTTTTATATTGACTGCGTTACATATTAAACATTTTTTTTATTTTCTGGCCCTTGGGATATAATTGGATCTGATAAACTATTACTAATGTTAAGGTATAAACAGAATTTAACATACTAAAATGTTGTGTCTATCTCTCCACTCACTCATTCATTCATTCATTCACTCACTCACACACACACACACACACACACACACACAAGAGATGCTGAAAAGTTCTTGGCCTGGGCAACTTGAATAAAAATTAAGCAAATATCAAATTTTTAATTTAACTTTATGGGTTTCTTAGACGGGCCAAGAACTTTATATATATATATATATATATATATATATATATATATAAAATAAAGGGTAAAGAACCTGATAAAATGGAAAAGTTATGTGTGACTTTATGGGCATGAAGGAGAGAGGGCACTGAGAATTTTAAATTAAAAATTTAAAAAAAAATTCTTTTTTGGGTATATAGTCTAACCGATTTCATTTAGTTTCTTTTCGTTCATCTTTCCATCACTCTTGTTATTAAATATCCCCCATTGTGATAATAGAAGATCTGCCAAGAAAGGTAAAATGTTATAAGAACCTGGATGCAAATTAAACAGTGGATGATCTAGAAACATTGGCCCTTTCTTAACTGATCTTTTTGATACCATGTTAGATATTTAATAACAAAAGTGATGAAAGCCTGAACAAAAAGAAACTACATGAAATCAGCTTGACTATATACCCAGAACATATATTAAAAAAAAAAAAAAAATTATTTCTCAGCGTCCACTTTCTTTTGTGCATACATATAGTCATATCAATGTAAACACCACTTTAGCCCGATGTGGATGAAATGTGTCATTTGAAAACCTTTTCCACATTGTCATAATTTTTTTTCATAAAATCGTTTGTGATATATAAAAATTTATATAATTCCCCCCCCACCACACATCTCTTTTTATATATATATATATATATATATATGAAGAAATATAGTCTTAAGGTGTGCTATATTTATGGGATAAAGTGCTCAATATCAGAGATAGAGCATGTGTAAATATAAAAGTGAACATTGAAGTCAAAACTTAGAGGCAACAGGCTGTTTCATGCTAGACGCAATCATCAGGCCTGATGATTGTGTCTTTGCATGAAACAGCTTGTCGCCTTTGAGTGTTGACTTCAATGTTCACTTTATATATATATATATATATATATATATATATATATATATATATATATATATATATATATATATAACTATAACTGGCATTTAGTAACTTACATTTGAAAAACTAATAATCCATACTATAAAAGAGGAGCTGGTTCTCTGTCTTTCATGCATCATGTGGGATTTTACATGCCTGGATGTAGTGCATATGTGGGTTTTTTTTTTTTTTTTTTTTTTTTGTGAGTGACTTAATGTTCTTGTACTATTTTAATGTATACACAAGCACATGCATGCACTGTTTGACTTGGTTCAAAATAAGACATTTAAATAATACATTCCTCTCCTACTTTGTCTGGACAACCCATACCTTGGCTTGAGGAATAAATGAAAAAAGTTGAAGACAAAATTCTTTTTTTTTAAATCATAAGAATCAGATAATTATAAGATTAATTTTTAGGTGTGTGATTGAATTAAAAAATAAACACAAATATACATATTCAATTCAAATGAAATTATAATGGACATTTGTATTGTGAAAAATTAGTGGAAGACAGGTATTCCATTATATTGTCGTTGCCATGTATCTGCTCATTTTAAATTTTCTAGGATCTTTATGACAATCCTTAAATACAATAAGATAAGCTATATATATATATATATATATATATAGTTGGATTGGTGTGAGTTTGTGACCCAGGTTTTCATGCTATTTGCGCTTGTCAGACAATTTGATGATCGCACACCAAAATAACTAAATATGTTAGCTCTATCACTGATATTGAGCACTTTTTAATAAGTACCACACACACACTATATATATATATATATATATATATTTATAATTTGAACAGTCCACGTGTGCTTCATATAGTCTATGAAATTGAATAGATAGCTAATAAAACAAAGGCAAACAAAAGAGTACCGATGTGATCAGCATGAAAAACATTTATTATTAACCACCCGACAGAAATGAAGCGTGGAAATTAAGGTTCCAAGTTTTCAGGCATGCCCGTGTCCTTCATCAGTGGATGCGAGAAATAGACAGAGAGACAGGGGAGACTTACCATCAGTTGTTCTTGAGGCTGGTGAGAATCCTGGTGTAGATGGTATTATTAGTAAAAATCTGATCTCTGTCTGATTACTTGCTGTGCAAAAGTTTTTTTTTGGGAAAATAAACTTAGATTCAAAAATTGGAATTGTATGAATGTGTTGGGCCAGTTGTCTTTATTGTTGTGGGTCATAGGGGAGTGAGATATTGAGCATAGAGGAAAAGGGTTATAGGGATTTAGGGTGGGGAAGATGTTAGTGCTGAGAGATTTGGCAGTGTAGGATAAGAGTGTGTGTGTGGGGGGGAAAGGCAATAAAAATGAAAGATAAGAGAGGAAAGGAATAGCAAAAAAAAAAAGATAAAGAATTATTTTGGAAAATCATTATCAGAAAATGGGTGCCGAAAAAATAAACTAAAATAAAAAATGTACTAATAATCATGATAATATAAAAAAATGGCGGGAGGGGAAACGCATACAAAATTAAATGCGTTGTGTACATGAGTGTACCTAACAGTGTGTAAATATATACTAGCTACTAACAATAGGAACAATAACTAGTTTTTTTGTGAGTGGTAAGGAAGAGTATGTCTGATCTTGTTTATGCAAGTTCCCTTAAGTTATTTTCGTATTGTCTTCTTTTGTTTGCCTTTGTTTTATTTGCCAACTAATCTATCCATATATATATATATATATATATATATATATATATATATATATAAAAAAGGCTTAAACATTAATATTTCTACCTGCATTCTATCCTCTTGGAATTTTTTATACAATATATATATATATATATATATATATATATATATATATATATATATATATATATATATATATATATATATATATTTTGTGTGTATGCATATGTATGTATATATTTTTGCATATGTATGTGTATATTTATATATATATATATATATATATATATATATGTGTTTTTTTTTTTTTTTTTTTTGTGCAACAATTGAGGGGCAGTATGCAAAAGACCCCATTCACGTCCACACACAAAAAGCTGACTACAAAGCAATCTTTCCCTCTCTCTTTGCATGAATTGGTGAGGGAGGGTATGGTGAATTTCAAAGGGAACCACTGCCTAGGGCAACACAGTTCACAGTAAGAACTAAATTGTATCGAATCTTGACACTTAGAATTTTGATATTTAACAAAACCAGAGTAGAAGGATGGACATTATTGTGCTTTGGGAACTTTTGCAGTAAAAAAAAAAAAAAGTTTAAATATGTAACATTTATGAGGATAAAATACAGATATCTTTCCTGAGGTATTTATGAATTTTTATGCTGTTCAATTATTAATGTTAACAACAAACTATTTTAAATTACAAAATTGTACATGGATTAAACAAAAATTACTAACAATATAATACATATTACTTATATATAATTTTTTTTTTTTTTTTTGCTAATTTTGATGGCATGGGTACCTTTTTTAAACATAAATCATTTTAGGACCTTTTTTTCTTTTTTCTTTTTTTTTTTTTTTTATTTGGATGATATTGAAACCTTTAACCAATAATTTTGTCTAATTTACTGACCTTGTTTGATTTTAGGACGTTCCATTTGTTGATATTGAACAAGTGACCAATAATTTTCAGCGGACCCTTTTTGGTTCTACTCCTCTTATGGTAGAGCTTCTTGCTGATAATACAGTAAGTTATTTTATTTATTTTTAAGACCCTTGTATGAACAAAGAGTTTATTTAGTAAATACGATTTATAAAAACTTTTAACATTCTGCCTTATTTATCCGTATTATGTCTAATGTATTCGTTTCAAGGACCCTTAATTGTAGTAAACTCACTGCTTAGTTCAGTCAAGGTTGTGTTGTCATAGCAGGATATGTTAACACAACTGAAATTCAAACACACTCTTGTTCAGCAAACAAGTGTCAGCTGAAATCTCTTAATTTAGATCTGTATGATCATTGAAGTTAAGTAACTTTGAACCAGGTTAGTATCTAGCTGGATGACTGCTTGCCGATACCAGGTGCTGTAAGTTTAGATATGTGGGTGGTATAATGGATAATGGCTCTGAATTTTTAATCGGAGAACTGAATTCCAGTTCCTGTTGTGTTCATTATATTCATTTATATGAAAGTACCTCCTTGGTAAAAGTATGAATCCACCTCTTCTTACTCAGCTGTGGGTTAATTAGTAAAACAGGTCACTAAATCATTATCATCTAAAAAAATAAAATAATAAATAAATTCTTACAGTCTAAAAATATTTTCTGGCTTTAAATAATCTGCTAAACATAAAAAACGATCACTTGAAAGTTGGCAGAAAAAATATAATTTTCTTTTGTTTCTTAAGGCAAAATTAGTTCTTATATTTAGATCCTTATATTTTTTCACATTTTACAGATAACAGATTCAAATATTTAAATTTAAGTAATTTTTTTTTATTCAGATTTAGTTCACAACCTTAAAAAGAAGCCCTTAAGTTTTGTTTGTTTTATTTTTTTTTTTTATGTGTGGGTGTATGCTCCATTTGTTAAAAGCCGACTCCTATTGGGAAGAAGTTTGATTATTTATTTTTCTATTTTAAGAAATTAGTTGCTAATGTAATCTATAATTTTAATTCAAAATTTAGCATCATTCCAGCTTTGTTCGTAAAAACCTAACCAGTGATTCCAAATTCCTGTTTTATTTTTGACAGGACAGTCTTAATTTTGAGCCCTGGTTGCTACAGTTGACTAAATTATTACATTAGCAAAGTGACAACAAATACTTTGGGTTTTAGTTATTTTTCATTACTGAAAAAAATTGAATTTTTAAGTACATTAATATATGTACAAAAAGTGTCTTAATTTTAAATCTGGATCTGATTGCTTCTTCCATAATTTTGAAGCTTTTGGTCTGTTCTTGAGCATTTACACCTCCCACTCTCTCACCATAAAGTCTTACAATCGTTTTAATGACAAAATTTTCTTATCTCCATTTCTTGTTTTCTTTGGAATTTTTTTTTTTTTTTATATCAATTCACCCCAAGCAAGGTCTTAATGTCACTAAGATACATGGCACTACTGGTAATGAAATATAGGATTTTTAGAACAAACCAGAAACAAGGGATAAACCTCTACTCCTGTTCCAAAGACCTGGGAGGAGTGTGAAGTGGATGATAGCAAACCTATCTACTATTAGGAGAAAAAAATACTAAATAAAATTAGAGTTTAGGCAGAGACGTTAGAAGTATAGAGTTGAAGTAGACTTTAGAAGTAACCAGAAACCCATTCCTAAACCGGAAACAAGAGATAAACCTCTACTCCTGTTCCAAAGACCTGGGAGGAGTGTGAACTGGATGATAGCAAACCTATCTACTCCTATTATTACTTGATATCTACTCCCATTGGCATAATGTTGCATGAAATTTGACCAATAATTTATGCTGTTTGAAGGAAATATTTTACCTATTATTTCTGTAAACATTTGCTATTGATTGGCAACTCATTTCTTTTGTATTTGAATATGGCATTAATTTCTCTTCATTTCAGAATATAGATGTCAGGTCAGAGCATGAAATTTTTAAGAAGCTTCCATCCACAAGGCAAAAACTGAATGAGCTTCTACTTAAAGATAATTCTGTACTTAACCATTTTGACATTGGCACCATGAATGTCAGTCACTCTGCCGATGTTGCTCTCCTGGAAGAATTGCAGATGATCCGAAACATTATGGATAAAGTAAGTGGACATTAAAAAAAAAAAAAATTAAAATTGTTTATTAAATCTTAATTTTGTATTCAGTATGAAATTTTAGTGTTTGTTTCTTTTTTTTTTTTTTGTTTTTTTTTTTTCTAAAAGTAGAAAAATTGAACCATAAACCTTATGGCATCATTCTTTTCCTCTTGACAAGAAACAAAATAATTCATATATCAAGATTTATTTTGGCTTTTAGAAAGTGGGAGAAGTGGGGGAAAGTTATTATATACAGAAAAAATAAAAGTTTTAAAAAAGAAAGAAAAAAAAATCTATAATAGAATTTGTTCATATTTATTAATTTCTGCTATTTTCATGACGTTCGAGAAAATTTAGCTTTTAGCCATAACTCCTAAAAAGCACGTCTTTAAAATGACAGTGTTCATTTGTTGTTCTCTTAGGTTTTTTTTTGTCTCTGACTACGAAACATCATTAAGGAAAAGCCAAATGATGTCCATTGGCTACAGACTAGTAAAGTTGTATAACTAACTTAATCATTATTTTATCATTATGTGCTCTCCCCTCACCAACTTGTCCATTTATTTTTTTATTTCAGTTTATTTTTTTTTTTTTCCATTTGCTTTAAAAAAATTGTCTTCCTCTAATTACATTAGTGTTGCTTGCGGATGTATCGTTAACTAATCATTTAGAGATAGATAAACAAAGGCTGCTGTAAATGAGGGAATGTCTTCGGTGAGTTGTTAATTGGAATTGGGACAAACGGTAGTCGTTCCATTGAAATTGCAAATTAGAACAGAAAGAACAAAGAAAAACTACTTTGACAATATGAAAACAATAATTAAGACGGGAGGCAACTCTTCAATTTATAAATCAGAGTTTCTTCCCCTTGTAATACCCAAGCTCCGCTTTTGTAATTGTCTTGAAATTTTAAGTCCTCTTCTATTTTATTTTTTTCAAAATAATAGAAAGAAAAAAAAGGAAACAATTACGAGAGTAGTGAAAACTGTGATGGAAATCTATCCCAAAATGTGTACACATTTTTCTTTTAAATAAATATTAAAAGAATATCTAACTTGAAATCTTAATTCAATTAGTAGTTTTTGTATAATTTTCATGTTTTGTCATCTTTGCTTTGTTGTTGCCATGCACCAAAGCTAATGTGCATGACTTTACATTATGGAAGTCATAAAAAATTGTATTTTCTTGCTTAAAAGACCCAAATAGCTGGTTTTTTATTATTATTTCCTTCACAAAACGAATCTCTAACCCATGAACTTAACATCTAGATTGCTAATGGTTATAAAAAATTTTTGTCTAATCCTGGGGGATAACAAAATAGTTTTAAAATGCTTCACGTGTGAGTTGTTTTTTTTTTTTTTTTTAATCATTTCGCCCTAAGCAAGGCCATAAAGCCACTAAAATGCAAGGAGTTATTGAGTTTGAAAGAGAAAAAGAAAAAAAAAATAATTAAGAAGCAAGAACAATAAAAAAAAAAAAATGGAATTAAGAAGACTAAAAATATCAATTGACATTGCATTCAAATTTGTGAAAATCAAAGTTGGCTAGAAAGAAGACAGTTCAAGAAGCAAGAAGTGCAATACAAGAAACTGTTAGCATAGAACTTAGGCTTACATCTAGCCATTTCAAATGTAAAATAATGAGACCTTGGCGCCAATCTAGTAGTGTACTGAAATTGTAAAGTACAGATACCATAGAGGAAAGTTCATCAGAATGATTACCATGAGAGTATTCATAGAAAAAAGCATAAGTTACGTTATGTTGGTGGGAAAGTGTCTGAAGCCAAGATGCCAGGTAGGGACAAATAACATGGCTGATTCTTATTTGGATTTTATCAAGAATCTCTAAATATATAACAGGAAGACCAGGTCAGATCTAGCATCAATATTCAACCAAGAATGAATGGTAGGCTTAAAAAATGGCAGATTGTGGTGAGAAAAATTGTCTCACATGACACAGTAAACCAATTTCTCTAGTTGTAGACTTATTTCAAACTTTTGATCTGAATCTTTCCTGCTAAAACTGAAAAATTCTGACAATTTAAACTAACTTTGATTATTTAGGAAAAAGGTTGATAAGCTGATGCGAAAACTTGAACCCCAAACAAACACCAAATTGAGTTTCTAGTAATAAAAAAAAATGAAAATGCAATTTCATCTTTCTCTCTCTCTTCTTTTTTTTTTCTTTTTTCTTTCTCATTTTTTAGATGCCTCTCTTTTTTTATTTAAGCAAATATCATTAATTCTCTAGTTTTGATTGTATGATGAATTTTGTGAGAATAAATGCAGATATTATATTAAACAGTATATTGATGTCCTGATTGAAACATAAAATCCCATCTATATGGACAACCAAATTTCTCAAATTCCTATCTTACAAATTTATCATTACTGCAATAACAAGACATTTTTCAAAAACTAGAAAAATTCTGTGGATGTTGATTTGAAACTTGTAATTTATTCATAATCAATTGAACAAATCCTCTGGGAGAAAAGTAAACTGTTTATTGTTAAAACTTCAAATACAAAAGTATTTAAAAAGATGTATGAATTCGGATTTCTAAGCAATTTTTTTTTTTTTTTTTTTTTTTTTTTTAACTTTAGATCATAAAATTTGTACCGGATTCTAGATAGTGAAAATCTATTCCTTTTAAAGACAATGCTTTTATGCTTGCTTATAACAGTTCAAAAGTTGTATGGGTACAGTAATTTAGGTTGCCGGAAAAAGTGGTGAGCCAAGTTAGAATTCTAGGCTAGTCTCTTGTGTTCACTTTTAGAAAGGCATGAATTTATCTCCTCCTCCTCCTCCAGCTATAAGTTAAGTAGCACGGTAGACTTGGACTCTCTAGACTTCAAGCGTAACCAATGTAAGAGAAGGAAAACTGTGGAGAAGGCAACAGAAAAACCTATCTTTCCCAGAAAAGAATGACAATTCACAGATAAAAACACTGAATCTGTTCAGTGGTGTTAAAATAAAAAATCAGCTTGACAATCTGAAGAAGCTTTATAATTTTATTCAAAGTGATTTTTTAAATGCAAACCTATCATAAATTTTCCAGGTTATAGGCCAAAAAAAAAAAAAAATGAAATTAAGTAAATTGGCATTTTTTTTTTTTTCTTGTTTTGTTAGTGTAACATTTCTTGGAGACATTTCAACCAAAATGGATTTACAAAATTTTAAGAAACTACTTCAGTAGTAGATCTGTTTTTTTTTTAATTTAATTTTTCATCTTATTTGATTTACAAAGAAAGACTTTTAAAATATCCAAATTATGTAATAACATTTTAACAAATGCTTTTTATCTCTTAATTGCTTTTTTAGTTTTGTTAGGCTAAATGTTTAAGAGCCTAATCGAAATACCCAGGCAAAATTTACTTTTCTGCCAAAATTAACAGAAAAGAAAAAATGTAATAACCATTTATTTTGGTCTAGCTCATATATAGTGGGGATCCTGATATAAATTCAGATGTTTGGTCATTTGTATATCTTTCAAGAAGTGGGTTGGGCCAAGAACTCTTTAACACTACTCAAAACACACACATGCTTTTTTAGTTGATTTTTTTTTTATGGATACTTTTTTAGTTGATTTTTTTTTTTTTATGGATACTTTTTTTTAGTGGATTTTTTTTTTTTATGGATACTTTTTTAGTGGATTTTTATTTTTATGGATACCATTTCTTACTATTAAAAACATTCTATTTAGTGGGTTCACATGTTTGATTATCCTGAATAAGAACAAGGACTACTTTGAACTAAATAAGCAGAGACAGTTGACTCAACATTTCACCAAGCTGCCACACATGTATGGTCTCCCTGAAATTGTTATTCCACAGGGACCTATAATCAGCTGCAGGAATTCAGCATGCCACACTGAAAAAATTCAAATGGATATAGTCAACTCGCTAAGAGGGAAGTCCTCATCCTATGTTAAAAAACACTTAGCGAAACTGATTTAAGGGGCTACCATTTATAACAACTGGTAAGTTTGGATGTGGTAATATTGTTTGTCAGAATTCCTATAGGTGATGTCCTGACAGTGGTTTGAAACTAATTGGAATCAAACCCCTCCCTAACATTCCAATAAATAATCTGATGGAGATATTTTGTGTACAGACAACATTATTCCAACTTGAGTTTGACATATACCAACAGGAGGAAGGCTTGGCTATGGTCTCACTTTTGTCACCTATAATGGCAAACATATACATGGAATATTATTTATCATCTCTCAGTTGCGTCTCTGTCCTTGGGCAGAGTGCGTTCAGGGGCTTCTCTGTCTGAGGACAGAGAGGCAACTGAGGAAAATTATACTGAAGAGATGCCCAGCCCTGGGGAACAGCTGCCCGAGGCCATGCCCTCCCATTGCACAAGAGGGAGGGATCGGTGCTTGCACTGAGGCCAGCGCAACTAATGGTTACGGGGGCTGAGGGGAATTTTTGTCCCTGCCCGAGTGTATGCGCTCGGGTCCCCACATTAATCTGACCTTGTGTCACATTTCATTCTCGTGGGAGAATGAGTAAACACCGTATGCATGGAATATTTTGAGGAAATGGCTTTAGAAATGGCACCACTAAAGCTAACAGTATGGCTGAGATAATACTCTGGTCTCACAAGGAAGTGTCACAAATATTGCTGGGGTATGTGAACTCAGTAAGACCTTTGATCCAGTTCACAATAGGAGGAGGAAATAATAATCACCTAGCATTCCTGGATGTACTAAAAACTTGCAGGGAGAATGGATTCAAAACATCTGTATACAACAAGCCAACCTGTACTGGACCATAATTTCAGTTCTCCCCAATGTATACAGTGTGAAGAAAAGGATCATGAAGTGGTGACACAGATCAACAAGAAATGATCAAATGTAACCCGGCAAACATGAAATCAGGTGGGGACAGAAGGGGACGAGGAGGATGACCAGAAAATTGTCACAGTCTGTCCACCTTACATCAAGGGCTTTTTATCAAAAAAGATTCAGAAGATCTGCAGGCCATACAACATCAGGACAATATTCAAAAGCAGTTCCACACTATGGAGAAATCTCTGCTGAGTTAAGCCTAACATGGGGAGAATATGTACTTGATTCCTTGCAGTT